CGGCCATATGTATGAATACAAGTATCTTTCTTCCGATTAGCGGAGAGAACCAAGACAATTCTTAACGGTACAATGAAACACAAGCGTAAAAGCTCATCGATGAGCAAGTCGATCGAAACGCGTTGGCTTCAAGAAAAGGTATCGAAAAACCAGGTGGTGTTTTTCGACTATATCGCGACGAGCCTCAAGCCGGTTGGTCAACGACGAGGCAAGATCATTCCCCGCCGCATTACCGGCCTTTCCGCCAAGGGAGCAGAACCTGCTGACCCATTCCGTCAAATGGGCGAGGTTTCTGGCCGTGATTCGTATGTGGCTGACGACTACAACGACAGGAAAATTTTTGTATCAACTTCATTGAATCAAGGCGAAGCTGTGAAAGTTATTTTAAAAGAGACGTGCCCTCGCTGGGAGACCCGCGATGTTAATGAGGTCAAGAACAGCTGGCGCAAACAACTATCTGATCCCCAGGGGATGGCTTCAAGGGCGACCGACGGCGCACTCAAGGCGCTGGAAACCGAGAGACAGCAGCAGGCAAAGAAGATCGAGCAGCAGCGGATCATCGCCCGTGAGTTGGCCGAAAGACTGCAGGGTTTGGCCAGGCCAGTCAATCCAAAAGCTGTTCCGGAACCATCACCCGGAGATATAGCCGAGGCGCTGAAAGGCGAAGGGTTGACATCGACCGAAAATCAGATCGAGGCTCCCCATCAAGGAGCTTAAAACTATGAGGCTTTTCATGGACGTATCAGCAAAGCTCAAGATCGCAGTCGAGGAGAGCCCGGAGCAGGCTTCTTCGGCGCGCGCCCGCCCCTGCCTCCTCACAAAAGTGTTTTCTCCTCTCCTCCCCACTAGAAAGCTCCGGATACTCCCGGTTGTTTCATAACTACGTGAGACCGTTCTTTCACAGGAAGAGTATCGAAAATTTTCAGGAGTACAGGATGAGGCAAGCCCTTTTTCGGGAAAATGGCCCTATCTGGCTACGCTGGAGATCGAAAAGTGGAAACCGCGTGCCCGCTCAGGTTGATGACATTGTCGCCTACTTCAGAGCGAAAATCGATTTCACCATCCGGTCGTCGCCTGCTACTGTGGGCGGTGTGTTCGATCACTGCACGCCCTACTGCCAGTCCCCGCACGTATTTGGTGTCGTCACAAAAATCAGCCGAAGGACGCAAAAAAATATCCTCTCTGTTTCGGCAAGGAGTTGCCCAGTCCCTGCCCGCCGTCCGTCCGCGTTCGATAGGTGGCGGAGATGGAGGACCTTGGTGATCACCTTCTCGAAGCGCCGAATCCGGCTGCCAACGAAGCGATGGAGCTGGGCTCTGGGGTTGTGCTTGACGAAGGGAGAGGTCTCGGATTCAGCACTACCGAGACGGCCTGCATTCCGCAAAAACAGGTGCCGACTTATACATCAATGGCACATTTCCGTTCACTGGCTGAACTGTTCGAGCATTCGCACGTCGTTTTCGAACAGGAGGCGGATGTCGATCATATCTTGTGGCGGAGCGGCGCGGTCCGGTCGACTCCCATGCCGAAGGCGTATCCCGAGTACTCCCTCAGGGTCTATGCCGCAGTTTTTCAGCACGTTGGGATGCAACCATTCCGCAGCCGAGAATTCAAGCCAGCCGGACTGTTTGCATACCTTGCACCCTTTCATGCAGAGGTAGCACGAGACGTCCCACCTCGGCCGAGGGCTCGGTGAAAGGAAAAAGCTCAGTCTGAAGCGAAGCCTGACATCCCGGCCAAACATCTGCCTCGCGAACGAGTATATCGTCGCTTTCAGGTCGGAGAACAAGACGTGTTTATCGATATAGAGTCCTTCGAGCTGGTGGAAGACCAACAGTTCGCGCTGATAGCCTCGTTACGATAGACTTTTCCGGACAGATGACCCGGATAGGCTTTTCGTCGAGCATGACCCGTATCTGCACCGGAGAGGGTGGGTTCTCAGCAGGAGGTCGTCCCTCGCCCGGCGTTCTCCGGATGGAAAGGTGTCCTGCATGTCACGGGCAGGGTGGTTCGGAGGAAGTTCAGCATGTCGAAGTTACTTAGCTGCCGGACTCAGGCTCAGGGCCGGTGGCTATGGTAAAAACCCATGTCCCGAAAATTCCTTCATGTCCCTGAGCACTTTCTGTGCCGGGTGTTTCCGAGCCGGAGAAACTCCTGCCCGCCCGGCAGGGTCAGGTCGATACCGTGCGTTTTCGCCCGGGATGCCGATTGTTCGAGTTTTCCCTGCGGCGTCCTCGAACTTCCGCTCGGCCGATTTCTGAGGCCGTTCAGCAGTTGCCGTACGTAGGCCGTTCCGCGGGCTCGAGCATCCCTGAGCGCATCGAAAAGTGCCGCGATACCGCCCTTAGGCACGAGGAACCGCAGGCGAAACGTTTCAACTCCTCGTCGTTGCGGATAGCAAAGGCATTGATCTCCCTTTGCAGCGCTTCTATGCTCTCTTTCATGGCGACGTCAGCCGATAGCGGATTTGACGATCTGGCTGAATGCAGCCGGGTCCTTTACCGCGATTTCTGCAAGCGCCTTGCGGTTGATGTCGATGTTCTTTTTTGCATGGCTTCCATCAGCCGCGAATAGTCGTGCCGTTTTCGCGCGGCCGCGTTGATACGCATGTGATCCACAGGGGCGAAACTTCTCTTTTCACCCTTCTGTGTCGCGGTAAGCGTACTGTTCAACCCTTGTCGACGGCGTGTTTGGCGACGGTGAGAAATGTTGCCCTGAGCCCCCAGCATCCTTTTGCCTTTTCAGTATCCTTTTTCTTCTCATGCGAGGCTACCGCATTATATTGCTTTGGCATCGTTCTGTCGTTTAAGGTTGTTACAGGTGATGTTTCAGGCCTGGATCATCCGCTTGATCTGTTTTTCCTGAGAGCTGTCGACCGGGTCGACCTGGTGCAGGCGACAGGTTCTTTTCTGTTCTTTTTTTCGAGATTGTGAGAACCGTTCATCCCTCTCGCGCAGTTTTTTCCCGACGCTGTTTTCTTGAACCGCTTGCATGCACCGCGGTGTGATTTCATTCATGTTCGTATCACGTTTTTGTTAGGTGTGGTTGTTACTCGGGTTTGCTCTTCCTGCCGCTGTTTGGCCAGCTGCCCGCTATGCCTCGATTTTTCTTGTCGGGTTCGAAAAAGACAAACAGCCCTTGCCTTCGAACTTCGGGTCACTCGCGGTTGCTGACGTTCTGGAGGCGTTCGGTCAGTCGTTCGATCAGCTCGAACCCTTTGTCCTTGTAAATGATGGACCAAGTCCCAGAAGAGACCACGGTCGCCCTGACCCGGTTACCTTTCCTGAGGAATTCTTCGGGTAGAGCAGCCTTGATCGAAATCGTGCTTGTCGGTATTCGGATGAAAGCGAAGTTCCTTCATCTCCAGTCAGCTTCGATTTTTCTTTCATCCCTTTTCCTTCTTGTCAGCTTTGGCCTGCAGCTTGCCGTAGTTGTCGAGCTTTGCAGACAGAGGCTCTGCCGTCAGCTGTATGCTTCAATGAGATCGAGCCCTTCCTGTTCCGCCATTTCAGCGCTTCGCTCTTTTTCATGATCTTCTACGATCCGTCGTTGAACGAGCCCACGGACCAACGCGTTGATCTGCTGGTTGACCCTGTAGGTCAGTTTCGGTTTCTAGAGGCGCGCCTTCTTTTTTTCTCATATGGTCGGGGTTTGTTTGAAATATGACAAGCGGTCTGTTGCACGATGATCAGGTGCGTTTCCCACAGTCTCATTGAGCAGTTTCCATGAGTTCTCAGTCTGCATGGTGCCCTGGTCGCCCCTTTCACTGTAGCGTCGGGCGAAACCCTCCGGCAGCCTGTTCATTCTGGCCGAGAACGACCATGCAGGGGATCTTTTATCTCAGCTTCCTAGTTTTCCTGCCGATTTTTCACTGCGCGTATCCAGTTCGAGCGGATTCCCGCGTCGGCAGCATCCGGTGGATGCCGGTGGCGTAGTCGTGGACATCCTCCACGATCGGCAGCACGGCGACCTGTACGGGGGCGAGCCCATAACGGGAAGTTTCCACGGTATGCTCGATAGTACACCGATAAACCGCTCCATGGAGCCGAAGAACCAGTGGATGGATGATGACCGGCTGTGCGGTTGCCCGTCACTGCCGATATGGAAAGATCGAACCTCTCGGGCATGACGTAGTCCCACCTGGACGGTGCCGAGCTGCCACTTCCTGCGGGGCGTCACGGACGATGAAATCGATTTTCGGCCCGTAGAGCTTGCTTCGCCGACGCGCGCCGATGACGTAGTCGATATGCATCCTGTCGGCGGCTTCGGACATCTTTTCGCCTGTTCCCAGGCTTCCTTCGTGCCACCGTACTTTTCACGGTTTTCCGGGATCGTGCAGGAGGCCGGATCTGGATGTCGTTGAAGCCGGGTGTGGCGAAGACAATTTCGTCAGGTCGATGGCGTTGCATATCTCGTCGACGAGCTGGTCCTGCCGGCAGTAGATATGCGAATCGTCCTGCGTGAAGCCTCTGGCGCGGATGAGTCCGTTAAGCTCCCCCCCGACTGTTCGTGCGGTGAACGGGCCGTGCCGAACTCCGTCAAGCGGATCGGCGGGTCGCGGTAACTCGGCTTCGAACTGTAGATCAGGTGGTGGTGCCGGGCAGTTCATCGGTTTTAAAGAAGGTACTGTTCCTCCCCGTCCGAGATCGTCGATGTGGGTCAGGGGCGGAAACTGTGAATCGCTGTAGTAGGGATAGTGCGGAACGTTTGTGAAACTCTATATACCCGATGTACGCAGCGTATAGACCGGTACGTACTTGCTTTCTCTGCTCTTCGCGCGGAAAGATTCAAGCTCGTTGCGGACAACGGCTCCTTTCGGCAGCCAGATCGGCAGGCCGCTGCCCACCTCCTGGGAGGCGCATGAACAGTTCGAGCTCGGCTCCGAGCTTGCGATGATCACGTTTTTTGGCTTCCTCGATGCGCGCCAGGTGCTGCCGAAGCTGTTTTCGGCGGGAAACGCGATGCCGTAGATCCGCTGCATGGTTTCGCGCGAGTCGCTCTCAGAACGATGCGGAGATATTGGTCCAAGCAGCCGCTTTCAGCTTCGAGGTGTTGGGCGAGGTGCGGACCGCTGCGAGGTCGGCGAACCCGTCCTGGTGGTATATCGACACCTTGGGCGTATCTTTCAAGGTATCCTCCAGAATCTCCACCTTGTACGGATCTTTTCGGGTCGACGAGAAATAGTCGACGGCGCTCTCCGTAAAGCTCCCTCGCGGCGGATGTCGATCCCCGGCGTCCGATGTCGAGCATCCGCTTCTCGATGGATTCCAGATCGCTTTCCGTGAAGCGGTGTTCCGGAAGAGATATCGTAGTAAAACCCTGTTCGACGGCGGGGCCCGCGAACTTCGTTCCAGGAACAGTTCTTCAATGGCCTGGGCCATGATAAAATTTGCGCTGTGCCAGAAAATCTCCTGCCGAGCGGATGTTCGAAGGTGACTATTTCAATTCGTGCGTCTTCCGGAACCGGGGCGTGAAGATCCTGCACCTTTCCGTCGACCGTTATCGGGGCGTCGTGCGCGAGCTTTTTGCCGATTGAAAGCGCTATATCGTATCCGGTCGCGCCACGGAAACGACCTGTTTTCACCGTCAGGGCGTGACCGTTACCTGGGTCCGCGATTCGTTATGTTCAGACATGCAAGTACTGTCTTCTCTGTCATATGCGGCGCTTCGACGCCGTATATCCTGATTTTCAGGAACGTCAGCCGCTTTCAGTCAGTTGATTACCGATCGGGAGGGCTGACTCTTCCGGCTGTTCTTTTCATTGCCGGACGGATTCCCCGATTCGATAAGAGGACTCAATGACAAAGAATAATTTTCATTATTCAAAACCTGCGTGCCGGAAGGAGAGCTTGCGCCGGTCCGGGCGGCGGGCGCTATCGCACCATCCGCAGGAGATCGGGTGTGACGGTCTCCTTGCCCGCTGAGCTGCCAGCGTCTCGGCTTTTTCTTCATCTCCTGCCGAACGATATCTGGCTGATGAACGGAGCTTTTTTACGATCTCCTCCAGAAGAGCGTTCGCCTTTGTCCAGCGGATGTCTTTCGGCTGAACGCCTCGCCGGTCGAACGCCGGCTGATCGGCAGGAAGGTGAAGAGGGTGTCGTAGAGCGCGTTGACGATTTCCTGGATAAGGTAGACCGCTCCGCTGTGCCCCATGAAGGCGTGCGAGGGCGCGTCGGACGATCGGTCCGGGGAAGCCCGCGGGTATGAGCGTGTTTTCGTGTCGGTTTCGGCAAGATAGATCTTGTCGACGATGCGTCCGAACAGGAATTGCGGCTGCGAAGTTTCCAGCCCTTGCGCAGGCCGGCGTTATCGGTTTCGGCCGAATCGTGCGAAAAACAGGCACTGCATGCCCATCTCCCTGCCGAGAAAACTGCGAGAGGCCTTCGGCATGGGTGCGGTCCGCAACGACGCCGAAACGGATCGTGGGGGAACCATTCGGACGGGCGGACCCCGCCAGAGGTCCCAGAGGGGTTGCAGGGGTGGTGCGTTTTTCTTCTCTCAGGAACTCGGCGGCTGTTTCCTCGCTGCCGATGAGCTTGCCGAGGCTGGTGATGAACGTTCGGTTTCGGTGAGGCCGAACGGAGCCTGAAGGACCGGCCTTTCAAGCATGTCGGCGAGCGTTTGGCCGAACTCCCCGGTACATGACGACGATCACATCGGAGTTTTTCAGGTCTGCGATGTCGTGAAGCGAACTTTCGAAGGGATAGATGTGCCGTACGGTTTCCGCCGCGCACCCGGCGACAATGCCGCCTGGTTTCGGCAAGATCCGAGGGGCTGTTGAAGCAGCCGTAGGTCGGTCCGACGATGCTGACGGTTCCAGGCTCGACCCGGGCGGGGCTCCGTCGTCGAAGGTTGAATGGAGCCAGCCGAGTGCGCGGTCACGACCTTTCCATTCGTTTTCTCCCAGAGAGTTAGAGGCGAAAAACGGATGTCGGGATAGCGCATCCGAAGCATGTTTTCGTGATCGCTTCCGATCATCTCGCTTTCGGCGCTCGACACCAGAATGAGCTGCTTGCCGGTATCGCCGAGTTTCTCGATGACGTCGATGACCGATTCGGAACTGCCGGAGGAGGCGATCTCTTTTTCGGTGAGGCTCGTAGGGGTGAAGTTTTCCAGATACGGCACGGCGTCGGTGTAATCCATGACCGCTACACCGACCAGGTTGTAGCAGCCGACCGGGGCATCGGCGATCACGTGTACGTCGTGGAGGGAACAGAACGTGTTGACCGCGGCCCAGTAGGCCCTTTCGCCGTCGATTCATCCCAAACGGTTGTTGTCATTATAAATCTCCTTGGGCAATGAGACACATGGCGATAATGTAAGAAAATGCTCGAGTCCGATTGCCGCAAAGCCCGGTCCGTTCAGGGGTATTGGCGTCAGGAGACCGGGAGCTTGCCCGCGGCCTTGAGGCTTCGGTCGAGGAGCTTCGGGCCGCGTCCTCGCTGAACTCCGAAGAGGAGTAGGTGCAGACGAATGCAGGAACGTCCGGAAACTGGTTGACGAGGTAGGGGTGCCGAAGGAGATTGCGACAAACGGTTTTGAACGGGAGCGCGGCGGCTCAGGCTCCGGATGAACTCCTGTTGCCGGTCGCTCAGGGCAAGCGTCTTGTTGCCCGACAACACCTCGACATAGGTCGAGACGACGATGGCCGATGCCCGTTCGGCGCGCTCTCCGGCCTTACGGTAATCGACAGCACCTCGAAGAGTCGCTTATGCGGATGGTTTTCGCGTTGAAGGCTTGCTTGAGCTTTTTGAAAATGTCTCTCCTGAGAGGGTGTGCTTCTTGTCCTCGAGTACGATGTGAAGAACGTTTCGGCTCCGGTCGTCCCGGATCGGAAGAGCCCCGTTTCTGTCCTGTATGACCGTGATCGAACGGTTTGCCAGGGTTTGCGCGAGAGCCCGGTGACTTTCGAGGTTGATCCTGCCGGGAATTGGCGTTGAGGTTGACGAACCTGTTCTCGTCGAGTTGCAGCCATCGCTTGGCCAGAAGTATCCGGCGAACGGATCTGTCGATCTGTTTTTTTCTTCAGCCTGCGGTGTACGGCATCGAGAATGGCGGCGTGCGTGCGTTCGATGTCGGGAGAGAACAACAGCAGGTCGTTACCGCCTCCGACGGCGAGAACGGAAATCTCTTCGAGCGTGTAGTCACGGTTGAGGGCGTTCATGTTGAGCGCATCGGTAATGACGAGGCCTTCGAAACCGAGCTTCTTTTGAGAAGGTGCGTGACGATTCTCCACGAGAGCGTTGCCCAGGTACCATGTTTCCCGTGATGCCGGGAACGGCCAGGTGGCCGATCATGACGCTCATGACGCCGTGGTCGATCGCTTCCCTGAACGGTTGCAACTCGACGGTTTCCAGCCGTTTCCCGTCGGCCCGCAGCACCGGAAGATCGACATGGCTGTCGACCGTGACGTCTCCGTGACCCGGAAAATGCTTTGCCGTTGCGATCATTCCGTTCGACTGCAGCCCGTCGATGAACGATTCGGACATCCTCGACGGTCAGAGGGATTCGGTCGCCGTAGGAGCGGGTATTGATGATCGGGTTACCGGATTGAGATTGAGGTCGACGCTCGGTCCGTAACTGTGGCGGATGCCGAGAGCCGTCGCTTCCCGGGCGATGATCGCCATATCATAAGCCAGCCGGGGGCTTCCGGCTGCCGAAACAGCCATACTGGGGGCGAACCCGTTGCACCTTCGATCCGCATGGCCAGACCCTTTTCCATGTCCGCGCTGATCAGGAGCGGACGGGGGCGAACAGCTGGAACCGGTTTGTCAGAACCGCCGCATCGTGAATGTTGCCCTTGAGGAATATGATGCCGCCGACCATTCCCCGGTTCACCAGAGAAGAAAGTTTCCGGTGGAAGGTCTCGTCGGCGCTCTGCAGGCTGGCGGGGCAGTGAGCGACCAGCATCTGGCCGATCTTTTCGGAAAGGTTCATCTCCCCGGCTGCCGTTCCACCCGGGAACCTTTCTGTTGAAGATTTCCGCACCGTGGGGGCTACTTCCGGTTCGCTTTCACGGGCGGCCGCCACGGAAGGCAAAAGGAAGGAAAGGAGCAGCAGCAGCCGGAAAGGCCGGTATAGGGTTTCTTTTGTCATGGACCGGGCGTATAGGCGGGATTTTCCGCCTGTTCAGGATGTAATGTACAGGTGGGGCTTCCAGTCATCCGGAAACGGTTGTGAGTAAACCTGCGCATGAGCATGATGTGACTGGGCCTGATCGGCTTTTTTCTGCAGGGGCATTCCCGGCTTCCAGGGCGTTCTGCTGCCCTTCCGGGTGTTGCAAGGGCTGCATGCCGTGACAAGGTTTTCCCAGGTGTCCTCGCCGCCTTGCGAGCGCGGGGACCATATGATCGATCGTCAGCGGTTTTTCCCGGCTTCCGCAGTACTGGCATTGAAAGTCGTCCCGTCGGAAGATATTTTTCTGTTCAGCATGATCCTTTTGTACGGTACCCGCACGAAACGGTCAGCCGCACGATACTCGGTACGGGAAAGGATTCCGATACCGTACAGATGTAATGTTCAGGGATGGTTTGCGACAGTCACGGCCTTGCCGCAGAAAAGCATGATGATCGCTTTTGCGCGTCGCAGATACTCAGCGGCTCATAGCTGCTGTTGAGGACAAGGACTTTTTTCTGCGTAAGGGCATGACTAGTTCGTTTATATGAGTATACAGTCGCTATCCCAAAAAGCCAATACTTCAGGGTCACATTTCGGTTAAATGGGCAGGGGTCCGAAAGCGAAACCCCGGCAGATCCGGGGGTTCGTTCGGTGCCGCTAACAGCCGGAAAAGCAGATATCCAGCTTTCTCGACGCCTGGGCCTCGTCGAGCCGTCCGACCGGGGTATTTACCGGTGCATCGAAAACCAGTTCGGGACTGTTTTCGGCCTCGTCGGCGATGAAAGCAGTGCGTCGGCGAAAGCGTCGAGCATTCCCCGGTTTCGGTTTCCGTCGGTTCGATCATCAGCGCTTCACTGACAATGAGCGGAAAGTAAACCGTCGGCGCGTGAAACCGTAGTCGAGCAGCCGTTTTGCCATGTCGAGCGTTTTAACGCCATGCTGTTTTTCTGCCGGTCGCCCGAGAGGCAGAACTCGTGCATGACGGGTCTGGGGTAGGGCAGATCGAACGTCTCGACGAGGCGGGATAGGAGGTAGTTCGCGTTGATGATCGCGTTTTTCTGCCGCACGCCGGACGCCTTCGGGGCTGCACGCGGATGTAAATTGTAGGCGCGGACGAGCACGCTGAAAGTGCCGTAAATTCATCATTCTGCCTATGCTCTGCGGTCTGTCCGTAACGAGCCGGTAATACCCGGCGCCGTTTTGCTCCAGTTTTTCGACAACGGGAACCGGCAGGAACGGGGTCAGCTTCCTGCAGACGCCGACC